GAACTGATAATGGTGGAGAATATGTAAATACTCAATTATCTGATTTCTTTCGTGACAATGGTATTAACCATGAGTTGACTGTTCCGTATAATCCGAAACAGAATGGCAGAGCGGAGCGAGTAAATGGCTCTGTCATGCGTATGGCTAGGTGCATGCTGATGGACTATAACTGTCCTAAAAAATTTTGGGCAGAGGTAGTAAACACTGCTGTGTATTTGAAAAATCGGTGTACGCATACAGCTCTTAACGATTTGAGTCCAGAAGAGTGCTGGAGTGGCCGAAAACCCAAGCTTGGACATTTAAAAGTTTTTGGCTGTCGTGCTTTTGCACATATTCCCAAAGAAAAGCGACAAAAATTATATGCTGTATCTAAAGAGCTTGTCATGGTAGGTTATGGTACGGCTACTAAAGGTTAGCGTTTACTTGACCCAGTAAAAGGAGAAATATCAATGTCTAGAGATGTTGTCTTCCTTGAAAATGAAATGTATTTCAAAGTAACTGAAAAACCTGATGTTGTTAATGAGGTTCCTCTCTTGATTACCAAGGTAGAATCTGAAAACAAATCCCTCACAAATGTAGAACGTAAATATCCCGAGCGTGTTAGAAAGCCGAAAGAATTTCCTGGTTTCGTTGTATACAAAACAATTAATCATAATGAAAACTCTGATGATCCCATCACTGTAAAGCAAGCCATGTCAAGAAATGATAGTGAACGTTGGCATGAAGCTATGTTAGAAGAATACCAATCCTTACAGGAAAACCAAGCCTGGATCTTAGTTGATAAGCCTGAAAATGCTAATGTTGTAAGCTGCAAATGGGTCTTTAAGATTAAGAAAGGGATTTCAGAGAACCGGTACAGAGCCAGACTTGTTGCCAAAGGCTTCACACAGCGTGAAGGAATCGATTACGATGAAACCTTTGCACCGGTAGTTAGGAAAGAAAGCTTCAGGCTATTAATTGCTTTAGCTGTTTTTAATTTGCAAATCCGTCACCTCGATGTTAAAACTGCTTTTTGAGGAGGAGACACCTCTGCGCGAGGAAGGTGCTGCAAAGCTAATCCTGCCAAGGACTGCCAGAGACCTGTTGCGCAGCAGAGTCGGGGCGGAGGTGATTGACGATTTCAAGATCACCAAGCCTATTTACCAGGCAATTCGCCAAGTGCCACAATGGGATCGAGAATCGGCCCCATTCTACACGATCACCCACAGTAGTCACGGAGAGATGACCATCGGCGATCTTCGCGTTCGCGGACACGCCGTCCGTACGAGGATGAACCGGTCGAAGCGGCGGTCGAACACTACTGGGAGAGACTGGCCACGGGGAATGCCGATTTCTGGTATGGAGCTGGTGTCGCCGGCTCCGTGTTCCAGGACAGGAGTTTGGTGTTCAACGTGGACAACATCCCATCATTGCTCGACCAGTTCGTGGAGGGCGAGGGCATTACCAGTAAAACCTCCTTCATTGGAGTTTGGGGCTCCTCCTTCCCATGGCATTCTGAGGACATGCGCCTGTGGAGTGCCAACGTCCTACTGTACGGGGCACCAAAATACTGGTATGTGTTGCCTGCTTCCCAGTCGCAGAAGCTAGAGGAACTGGCGGATGCCTATGCCTATGAGTCAGCAAATTGCACGCATTACATGATGCATAAACGCAGCCAAATCTGCCCTTCATTCTTGAGTAGAAGAGGCTTCACTCCCAGGACG